GGAGGTCGTGAGATGACCGTCTCTCCAACTGAGTTTTTGAGGTATCATTAGAAAGTATCCTGCTCGTTCCTCTTCGCAGTTGAATGCATCAAACATCTGTGAGCTTGCTATTATGCATGCAAGCGTGAGAATCAGCTTCTGTCGATTGTGCAGACTGAACTGTACAATTATTAAGGTAAATACTTGGTGTAATGTACAGTGAAGAATGTTGCAATTAAAATGCAGTCAAAGTTGTTTTTTTACTGACAAGCAAATAAGTGCATTGCCCACTTCGAGAATGATGCATACCATATTCACTCATTATGACAACGATTGCACAATTGCGGTGGATCTTGTTTCACATCAATTCAACCTGGTGGGCAATCATTTTGACTTATACCAAAATGCGCTCTGTGCCCATCTCTCAAACGTCGTCGTTTGTTTTCAAGAAAAAGCTTCATTGCATTTCATTTCCGAAAAGACAAATTTACCAGAATGTATTGATGAATTTTTGATCTGCCTGCCTACCTGTACATGTGATTTGATATTATCGTTTGATGTTTTCTAATTCTTGTATCTCGGGGTACACGTACCTTGCGTTGGTTGGATTTATCAGACGGACAGTACGCAAGAACTACCCGGCTACCTATCGTTGCATGACTATGGCACCGAAATGGGTCTGGTGCTCAAATGGACTCCGAATTGGGCTATGGCTCCAAACGGCGTGTCTGCTCCCGATGAGCATGATACAGATCACCGGACCACAAGTGACGCATTGGAGGATGCCAACATGCCCGACACTCAGCGAGAGTAAGAAACATTCCGTAGTGATGACCTAGTCCCGTATTGCTTTACTGCGTTCTCATTGATCAATGTGAAACGCATTGCACACACAGCCAGTTGATTTGATTGTACATTTTAGACTTCAAGTCCGAGTGGTTCGTTTCTGTACGTTGTATCGAAATCACAGTCAAGTGACTTCTTTTTAACACTTCAATATATCTATCTTGTATGCGTACTACCATCATCAGATGTGAACGTGGGACATCTTAATGATGAGCACCAACTAGGTCATCACTAAGTGTGTCATGGATTCATCTTTTTCACTGAACACCCGTTTACTGAACAGAAGCGAAGAAATACATCGTCGGGATGCTCTAGTTTTCGATTACGGTAATCGGTAACTTAAACGCTGGGGTCTGAAATATCGACAAACTACACAGGCTTTGTATTCGGTCAGACGACAACTAGCCTGTCTTTAATGTATCTGATAATCAGCCTTTCTGCACTTGTTGTTTTCGATTGATTCTTTGTCAACGACAGCACCAAATTGCCAGGTAATAGTTCTGGGCCATTTGTTTTCTTTTTACTTTTCATCGTTTTGGGCAGTGGATTAAGATGTTAGCACTTGTTAGCTGCCCGTTCATGGCTACCGGAAATCACACTTCTTTCAGTTGCCACTCGAGAGAAGCATTTTCAGTCTATGATTTTCACTGAACAATCTTTTGTAAATAGATTGTGAAATACTCTCCAGGTCAATCTGACTGTATTCGGAAATCGGTGTTTCCAAACCCTTGTTGGGCAATTTCCAAAGGACGGGCCAGTAGTTTTCAGTGCGTCCAATTCATGCACCTGCACATCACAACATGTCAAAAAAGCTTGTTATTAATTGGATTCTATTCAAATTGTTGTTTGGCAGATTTGAAGTTTTTATGTCGAGATTGTGAAAAGTTCACTAGCCTCGGTGGGATTCGAACCTACGCATGGATTCTATTCGCCTAATCCATTTGCATATCTGTAAAAGTATTCAATCTTCCAAATCTAGCTTGTTTTCTCTCCCTCTCTTTTGGTGCAACATTCTTGTCCCTTCGCGAATAAACTGTGACAGTACCTATTGGCGGTACGCGATCAAAACGAGGCTGTCCGAGTTGGTGTATGTACATTGTCATGAATGGAGTAAGTTTTACCTCGTAATTCCCTATCTACAGTAGTGGTATTCAAAGTTTGAAATAGGAAACTGAATACGGTAGTTTCGAGTGCTGCATTGAAATAAAAGTTCAGGCCAAGTGTTGCATTGCTGCAGGTGGATTTATCGTTTTAAAGAAAATCATTTCATTTTTTTTTCGTTTTTTTATCAATAATTTATCTGTCCATTCCTCGTGCCAAGTCAACGTGCATTTCACCAAAAAAAGCTTAGAGCTAGCCGACAGAAAAGCCCAGGTGGCACATTAATGACTCGTAGTGTCTGGGCGCGAATCATGGCGAATTCGGAATATATGCATTCCCGCTAACTCGCCAACTGGATTACACAGTTGCACAACCATGAGCA